TTTGTCCACTGTTATACATTTTTTAAAAAATTACAAACAAAAATATTTTAAATGAAAAAGAAAACCACACCCTTTGGCATTCTGGTTTGTGTTTTAGGGTCTTATAAGCCAATGAGCATGGAAGTCCTCGAGGACCTGAGCAGCTGAATAAGTGGACACAGTGGAGTTTCTGGACTTGTATAAATGGAGGATCAGACCCTAGATAAGTCTGATCCTTCAAAACACCTGCTTTTTGCCCTAGATGTTTTTTCTCAGTGGTTAGAACATCAGCCTGTGGACTGTGGGTGTTGATTCCCAGGCAAGGACATATACCTGGTTTGCAGGTTCAATCCCCAGCCCTCAGTTGGGGTGCAATGTGTCTCTCTCACATCAACATCTCTCAGTCTCTATCTCTTTCTCTCCCCCCCATTCCACTCTGTCTAAAAATCAATGGAAAAAATATCCTCAGGTAAGGATAAAGAAAAACAAAAAAACCACTCCCTTTTGGGATTCTCAGCATAACTGTGGGGAGACAATCATATGTTTTTTTTTCTTAATGAATAAAATCTCTAAAATGTAACAGTCACCATTTCCTCATGTCTTCCTTGTTTACATGACCGGGGATTGTTCGCTCTTTGCTCCTAAGTCCTTTGCACCTGCTGCTGTGAATGCTCTAACGGTTCCTTTCTTAGAGCAGTGCTCTCCACTCTGCTGCTGTCTCCTCGCCTTTCCTCAGGGAAATGAGGGGGGGATGTGCACAAAAATACCTGTCACAAGTGAAGCCGGAAACACCAACTTTTAATTGGGTTCTACCGTGGTTTCCGTGACCCCTTCGATCCCCTGACATTTTCCTTTCTTTGGGTTTTGTCATCACTTTTATTGTGAGGAATTTGGTTGGATTTCATGTTTGCAGCAAGAGGAAGAGGCATAGCTGGACCTGGCCCCTCTCCTGTGAGTCACCAGCATCTGTCACACGGTGACCAAGCCTCTTTATTGCCACTGCTGCCGGGCCAGCGGAGCTTGGAAAGCAGGGCTGGAGGGCTCTGGGATTCCCTAATGACTCCTGGGGAGAGGCAGGAGGTTTCTGTCTTGGGGAGGCCATTGTGAAAATGCACCCGTCTGTGTCCTGCCAGAAATGAAAGATTTCTCTCCTTTCAGGACCACTAACGGGGGCAGGGCCAGAAGTCTTAGGGTCTCCATACAGGAAAGTTACTGGGCTTTACCGAGACTTCAGTTCTCATCTAATAAGTGAGAATGGTATTAAATTTGTCATGAGGATTAAATAATTTAAACGTGTAATTCCTAGCTTGCCTGGAGCATAAACACACTTGATAAATGCAGGGTGTTTTTTCTTTAATTTTTCTTTCCACCTTTTCTGACTTTTAGTTATATTGTTATTTGCTTGTATATGTGTTTCTTACTCTGTAGAATGAAGGATGGGTTTTTGGGAAGCAAGAATACATTTTTACCAAAATCCTTAAACTCCTTGTACTTTTTTTACCTAATAATTTCACATATGTAAATGTCTACTGAAAGAAGGGCCCAATTTTTTTTTCACTTTTAAAATATATTTTTATTGATTTCAGAGAGGAAGGGAGAGGGAGACAGAGATAGAAACATCAATGATGAGAGAGAATCATTGTTTGGCTGCCACCTGCACACCCACTACCAGGAAATCGAGCTGTAACCTGGGCATGTGCCTGACCGGAAATTGAACCCACTACCTCCTGGTGCATGGGACGATTCTCAACTAACTGGGCCACACCAGCCGGGCGAGGGGGTCCAAATTTTAAAAAGTAGAAAGCTTTTGTCATAAAAAGATCCATTGTCACTTCAAACGCAAGAAAAGTTCTTCCCGATCATTTGCCTGTTTGCCTTAAAAAAACAACAAAAAACCCCAGCACTTCCATCATATACTATTTTCTTTTTCTTTTGTGCTTCTTATTCTCATTATTGTTTCCATGAAGTTAGTAAATTCTCATCCCTTCCTCAAATCATTAAAAAATAGGCCAGTATTAATTTTCCATGGGCTCAAGATGAATCATTTCCTTCTAAGAAAGGTTGTCAAACAGGCTTATTTCTTTCGTCTAGGCAGCCAATTTCCCAGAGAAGCAAAACGGGATTATGATCCATCTTGCATGTTTATGCAGCTATCAGGAGATGTTTCATTATAATAACTATGGCAATCCTTCATAATATTTGGAAGAAAATTGTCAAAGAGCACACTAAGGAAACACTCAAGAAAGTATTCAAAAGTCAGAAAAGGGAACTTGATTGGACGGCTCGGTTGCTAGATGCTGATCCTCGTCTCCACGTTGCTTTTACAAAAACCCTGCCAGGAAGCATCTTAATCTCCCATTTCTTGAATAGGAAACTGAAACCCGAAGTTTTCAGATGGCTTATCTACAGACCAAGAATGTGCGCCCAGGGCTGCTTGACTTTAATATCCGTGCCCTTGCTTTTATTCCCAGATGCCCCCAACGCAGTGATCCTTACCCTTGGCTACACATTGGAATAATTTGGGAAGCTTTAAAAAAGTTGGCAATGCCCAACCCAATACTGAAAAGGAACCAAGTTGGAGGAGTCACACTTCCCAATTTCAAGACTGATAAAGCTTTAGTAATCAAGACTATTCATTGTGAAAGGATAGACAGACACATAGACCAATGGGGCCAAATAGAGAGCCCAGAAATAGACCCATACAAATATAGTCAGCTGATTTTTGATGAAGGAGCAAAAGCAATTCAATGGAGAAAGGATAAGCTTTTCAACAAATAATGCTGGAATAATTGGAAATTCATATGTAAAATAAAAATTGAACCAAGACCCAGACCTTGCACTTTTATAAATCATAAACCTAAATATAATATACAAAACTATAAATCTGTTAGAATAAAACACTGGAGGAAAGTTATGTTACCTTGGGTTTGACAATGAGTTTTTTGACTTTATTAAAATTAAAAACTCCTGTGAAAGAAACTGTTAGAAGAATCAAAGGGCAAGATAGAGAGTATTTGCAAACACATATCTAATCAAAGACTTATATTCAAAATATACAAAGTTTATTAAAACTAGACAATATGAAAAACAGCTTTAAAATGGTCAAAATATCTGATCAGACACTTCACCAAAGAAGATATACAGATTTCTAATATTTTCCTCTAGCAAAGGAACCAGAACTAAGATAAATGGCTGATTGTAGGACAAGGGTAGCAAATATGAGAGATGAGCATGGAGCTGCTTATAGTGCCAACATGTAAGAAAGTGTTTAGGACAACAACACAGTGATGGGGGTATGTCAGAGGGACACAGGACCACCTAAAGGCCTCCCAGTGTCCAAAGCTGGAACATTTGAGCAACAAAATAAAGTAGTATTGGAGTGAAACCCAGAGTGTAAAATAAATAAATGAATCCATACTGATTTGAATAAATTATTGAATAAATCAATAAATGGAGGAAAAAAGACATATTTCCTACACAAAGAATTCTAAAAGTCTTAGGTAGATACTGTGTCCTCATCTCTTCATTCCTTGAGTGTGGGTTGAACACAGTGGCTTCCTTAAAAAGACTA